ATTTGAACAGTACAGAGAATGTATATGTGGATGATTTTATGTGCCAGTCAAAAATTATTTTTAAAATTTAAGTCTATATTTTAGACAAATTGTGCGCACAATGTTATTTCATAATCAGCTTATAAGGATTTGTATTCTAAATAGGCAGATGAACATAGTTAAGATAAAATAAGATTCTTCTTCAATTGTAATGCTTAAGTATTTGCAACACATTATACTTTTCAAAGCCTCATTTCACACACATCGTTTTACGTGGTCTTACTTTGCTCTTTGATTATCTTATCCTAACCACCTAACAATTGTAATTGCTGTAAAAATTGGTTGCAAGAAGTACATTTCTGTGAAGGCAGAATCCCGACAACTGCTTTATTTTGTCCTCTTCAGCTTTCTTAATTTGTCATGTGACAATGCAATACACAGTGTTTACTGAAATATGTAGTATTTTCTGCAAATTTACTAAAGTGTTATTTTAAACATGAGCATAGAAAACTGGAAACTTTGCAAATGCTAATTTATAGCTCCCGACCCTGTTCCACTCCATCAAGATGTAACAAAATAGCGAGATGCGATAGGAAAATATATCAATGCTCCAGTTATCCAACAAGTTCATTCTTTATACATTTGTGTAAACTTTACTATACCCAACTATTGGGTCACCAGTCTACATCTGCATTACAGAAATACTTTCAAAGATCATTTTAAAAATTTCACTAATATATCTTGTCACTGGTGGTGTTAACAATCATTGCTTCTCTGTTCGCACAAATGAGGATGCACAGCAGTTCAGGGGCTATTTCTGGAGTGAGAATCCCCATTGTATAAAATGCATGCCTGAAACAGTGCCTTCATTCTTAGCGTGTTTTCATATAGCCTAACAAAATAGTTCCAATTAGTACATCTTGTATCCAGCCCTGAAGTCAAACTGATGTGTCTCAATGAGTTTCCCCCACTTATTAAAAAATAGAGGTACCCTAATTACACCAATAAAACATTTCTTGTAAAATATTTATTTCTTTATTACTGAATCTGTCTAGAAGATCTACAAATATCCTTTCATGACTGAAAAGTTAGTTGCTCTTGAGAAATGAATGTTCTGTTTCGTTTGAAATAAGTTACAAATGTTTCCATTATACGAATGATATCAACTTGAACAACAAAGAGTGTGTATTGAATAAGAGTGACAGCATGAAACATCACTTTTCTACATGTGCGGTGTGACGTTTTTGTTTTGTTCCAAGATACTGTTGCTTCTCTGTGTGACTCTGAAGTTTAAAAACATGCCATGTTATTTGGTGATTACCTAATGACGATTTCATGGCTCTAGTTTAGAATAAACTTTGCTAGATAGAGCTGCACAATTCATTTCTCTTGTACCTTTGTGCAAACAGGCCAATGGGAATTGAATGCACAGTCTGCATGAAGACCACATTAGAGTCAGCAGTGTGTTACACATGAAGTGAAAACCAGGTGTAGCCGAATGTATTCAATGTGCCTTGTTTTGTAGCCCACTGTCTACCACATGCATGTGGCACCCACTGTCTCTTGTTATCGCCTGTTGTCAAAGGGACTCAGATGTAAGACTGTCCCTAGAGAACATCAGGAAGCAGGTGAACCATGCATTCATCTCGTAGCACCTTTTGCGTTGATCATTTCACCTTAAGCTCCTCATCCTTGTCCTCAGGTAGCCACCCCAGCTGCTTTTGCTCTAGATCTGCGACTCCCCACCTCATCCCTCCTTCCCAAGAATTTTCTGTCTCTTGTTGCCTAATCCTTCATTGACAATATAATTTCCTGCTCCAAAATGCACAGAGGCTCCCTCAGAGGAGCTGGACAATCAAGATCCCGTCCTCACCATATGAGTCTTGTTTTTCACTTTTCTTGCCCCACATATCTTCTACCACAAGTGAGTCATGCAACACACCATTTTTTGTTTACCTCTTTCCAATGATGCTCCTTTTGTGCCAAACTGCTCGTCACTCACCATATCCATTTGCTTTAAATCTTATCCATCATTCAAGACTGTACTCAGCTGTAACTCCTCAACACACCATGCCTGACTGCATGTCCTTGACATCACACCTTGGGCACTCAACGCATGTCGCTGTGTATTATAACATTAACATAAGTGTCTTCTTTCCAGGCATTGTGGTGAGCAATTTACAAATGTAATCCTCATTTAAATGTAAGAAAAATGTGATGAAATACCATTTAATACTTGAGGAATCTGAGATTTCAAACAATTTTCTCATATTTATAGAAAGAAATTAGCTAAAATTTGAGTCCCGGCTTATCTAATTGATACATATGCCCTTTCCATTAGCCCATATTACCATCTATTCAGTTATTATTTTCATCTTTTGAAACAATGGATGGAGATTGGAAGCTTAATAAAATATCAACACTCCGCTGAAAAAGAGATGGAATTCATTGGAATTATTCTGTTCTTTGCTGGAATTTCACAGTCAACTGCAACCTATGAAGAATTCAATCAAGAATTGGGAAAAAACATATATGACAAAATCTTGTCTTCGTGATAAATTTGAAATAAAAGTAAAAAACATGCTTGTGGCATTTCACATTTCCAGAAGTACTCGGCACCCCTGGTTGCTCCCTAAGCTTTGTTTGAAAATAAGTATAGGGAAAAGAAGGGAGCATGAGGTTCATGAGGGAACACCTCCTCTATGTCCCCAAGTTTTCAACAATCTGAGGTACTTAGGCGGCTGAAGGTGTGACCACCATCCTGAGTCTCTCATGCACTAAAATGGTGCTTACTGAATACAAAGCGCCACTTGATTCATTTCGCCTCCAGGATGACATCAAGACTTCAGAGTTGCTCCTGGGGAAGTGTCATCCCAAATGCACAGCTCTATGACTGCCCCCTAGCATCCAAGACTGTGGAGGTTCAGCAAAGCCCAGGGCTGCTCACTGTAGAGGCACTGGGGGTGGGGGGTGGGGGGGGGCAACACCTGCTGGTTAGCGGCAGAAGCCCCCTCCGTAGAAAAATCTATACTTTGGATTTCTGTATATTTTTACACCACTGCTTCTTTTCCTTTCCCCTAGCAGGCGAAGAACAACAGCCTTTCTTTATTAGGAGTTTTACTCTTTTTATCTCCTCATCGCTTGTCAAATTGCCATGTACATACTTAATATGTGTGTGATCCCAAAGTTTAAAGAAGCCATGGAATTATGATTTAGCAAGTGTTTTTTTTTTCAGGGTTCCACACTAACTTCTGACAGCTATTATAATTTTGCTTCCTAACTCCGTTTCAATTTATGTCTGCTCCTTTTTGCCAATTGCATACATTTGTAGCCCTACACCTTTATTCTTCATACCAATCTTAGTAATAATTTAAAAGTTGGTATCCTGGGAAATAATGCAAAACATGCATTAGGAAGCCTTAAGTTTTTCATTTCAATTACAACTTAAATACAAGAAATTCAATGAGCCCTTTAAGAAAATTACCTTTAACCATACCGGATAAAGGAAACACTCAATTATGGAAGCTCATGGTTTCTTTTCTTTAAAAATATTGTTTCTCTTTTCTCAGTAAGTCTTTAAAACTCAAGTACTTAAAAAATTTTCTGAAGAAATTACAGGTTCAGATGCCTTGTTCACTTCTCACTCAGTTTCTCCCAAAGTGTACACGTTGTTGGTGCCTTATTGTAGAGTGATAGGACGGCTATCAAGTTGGTGTTAGTCTAATTTACTTTTTTGTTGTTGTTGTTTTGCTTTTTACTTGAGAAGAGAGAGCCCTCTCATTGATTGGCTCTCTCCCCAAATGGCTGAAGCAAGGGGCCAGAAACCCATTCTAGATACCCTCTGAAGGCAGCAAGAAATGATAATAATAATAATAATAATAATATCTTTAGCTCTCTGTATTCATAGAGAGCTGGATTAAGTATTCAGATCTGGACGTCAAAGCGAATCAGTTAGCTACACATCCACCTTTTAGTCTCTTTTCAATGTCTTTAGAAAAAGAAATAATAAAAACGTTAAACAAAATCATCTATCCTACAACAACCTTGGAAGTTTCATATTTCAATCTTTACCTTCTTGATGTATTTTGTACTCACAATAGTTCAGGTAGAAGTGTGGTGTGTTCACATGATCGTGGAGAACTTTGGTGGGAGACGATATTCAAACCCCTTGACATCCTAGACCAAAGGTGCGGTTGAACCGTGGAGCACAAGCTGCATCTGAACACTTGGGGTGAAGCATACACCTGCCTCCGCGCGTGTGACCTTGAGCAGGTCACTTGATTGTTGCGAGCTGCAGCACCTTCCTGCAATAAAGGGACTTGATGGATGGAGTTGTGGTGAGGATCAGATGTGCTTGAAGCAAAAAGGCAGCTTGTGAAGCAGCGGTTTGGGAGCTCCTCAGAGGTGGCCCTCTGCTTAGAAACAGCACAAAACCACTTCCTTCTTAGTCATGTGTCCTAGAACTTCCACTGCGTGTAAAAGATCTTCATTTTTCAGCATTAAGAGGGACAGACACTGGTCACATCATAGATTAGCATTCTGTGACCCGTAATCCCCCCAGCTCCCAAGGCATATGTTATAGTGAGGGGTTCTTTACATTTTCTTCTGCAAAGGTGAAAGGATTAGAAGTGTTTTTAGGCATATTAATTGTTGCTGTCTTTTTTCCATGCTGTCAGATGTGCAGTAGGTGCTCTTGATAATTCTAAGAAATTGTAGAAGTATGAGATAGAGAATAGTTGACGAGGTATAAATGGACATCATCCAGCACGCGCTATTCCTTGCTTTGTTTAGTTATAAAGCTCTTCACTCACTCACTGCTGGCTTGTGGTTTGTATGCAATAAAATGCTGGTCTTGGCAAGGCCAGTAAAATCTTAGTCTTGGCGTAAGGGTAGAGAAATATAGAGAGAAAATAAATTTAAGTCATTGAAACTAAAGATTAAACTCTCTGTGTGTCGAATGTTTGGGGCCAACTAATAAAAATGTTGAGGTTTATTTTCTCCTCTCTCCACCCTGTACACAGGCTGGCATGGCTCTGACATATGACCCCACAGCTGCCATACAGAATGGGTAAGTAGATCACATTATCTCCATGTTGATTGCTGGAAGATCATTGTGCTCTGAAGAAGCACTAAAGAAACAGGTTAAAATACGTTTTTACACTTTTGTTTGTTTTTACATTTGAAGCAAGAACTTTAAGCCCCAACGTTCTCACCACCGTTGTTTTTTGTTTTGTTTTATTTTTTTTTTTTCTCTCTCTCTCTCTAAATGACTCTGGTCTCCCATTGTCACAATGCCTCTGCTTGCATTAAACCCTTTTATTTCTCTATTTCTGGCCTGAGAAAACATAAAGACAACTTTGTGAAGGAGGAATATAAATAGCTTTGATCTGGGAGGATTCTTTTTGTGTCCTGAGTACAAGAGTATAAGGATGTTGTTCCTGTTGCTAACCCCGAGTTTAGCATTCTGTCATTTCTGGGTGTACAAGCTGAATGTCTTCATGAACAATGCTTTAACTCTTTCATTCCCATGATTAGGGGAATGATCGTGAGCAAATATCATATTAATAACTTGGGTGACTGTATCTTCATCCATTTTAATAAACCGCTGAAAACCTGTGGGCTTGAGCAAAGAACACATTACACAGCTTAAATTACTCCTCTGAAAAATAAGACGGTAAAACTTCATGGACTTTTTTCTCTAAAATTCTAAAAACTGAATATCTTCAGTAAACGCATCCTCTCTCTCTTACTCTCCTCTCTCTCACTTTCATTCACTCTCATTTATTTGAAAAGTAGAGTGATGAGATGTGAGGGAGACAGCAAGAAAGGATCTTCCATTTGCTAGTCCATTACTCAAATGCTTGCAATGCCTAGGACTGGAACTGGACAGAACCAGGAGTCAAGATCACGGTCCGGGTGTCCCAAGTGGGTCCTTGGACCATCATTTGCTGCCTTCCTGGGCACATGAGTAGGGAGCTGTATTAGAAGCAGAGCAGCCATAAATCAAATTGTCCCAAGGCACTACAGTACGCTGGGGCCATACACATACACTGGTACCCAAAACTTTCTTTTATTTTCCTAATTTTTCTTGTTTAGCTGTCTTTAAATTGACAGTTATAATTGGTTGCTCATTGTCTCCTGCATTTTCCCATGGCTTTCATTGTCTAAGTCTAACAAATTATAATGAAGACCTCCTCACCAAATACCACTGATGGTTGGTAGGATAAATTGTATTCCATTCTATCATTGGTCATTGGCCTCTGATAGAAATATGTTAAGATATCTTTTAAAAAATTACCCTTATTCTTACACTTATCCACGCAGGAACTCATTTTTGAGACATTCAATAAACAGCCAAGGAACCTTCTAGAGCCACTGTTGTAATTCACTGATGAGAAGAAAGCAGTGGATGCGTACTGACCCTATCCTTTAAGAAAGACACAGTCAACCCTTTCATAAAAGAGGTGGCGCAGGTGACAAACTAGTGCATGAGTATGATCTTTTTCTTTTGTGGTAGAATAAACTTCCTGTCAGAAGCGAAAACTAATGCCATCCTTTATTTATCCAATAGCCATCTGTTTGCTTCCGATACAACACCATAGACCTGGTGGGTAGAAAGAATTAAAAACATGGAAAATGATGTCCTCCAATTCCTAAAGTTGGAGATAAAATAATGAACTTAAAAGATACTAACTATGCTTATGGCATTATGTGCTAGTTGAAAGAAAATAGATACTATAAACAAAAAATTATACTTTTGAATACATATTATATTCTAAGTGCTTCATATTTTTAACTCAATTGTCATAGTTTAAAAATAGACAGAAATATGTGTTTAAGATTGAACTACATAAAGTAAAAGGAAAATTATTTAAATGAATATCATTAGCATGCTCATTAGTTTGAATCATAAAATCTTAATATTTTACAGTATTATATATATGCTTATGTATTATATATGTAAACATGTATCTTCCCCCTTTAAAATAGATCTGATATATACTTATAAAACTATTCTTTGTATGAAGATTTAGAGATATAGCCAATGGCTGAGAAATAACCCATTTTTGCCTTCCTATAGCTAATATTGAAAAATAAAGCAGAAAACGAAATAGTGTAAATTTTATGTATAATTAAGTAGCTTATTAATTACCATTACGTTATACACCGGTAAGAGATTCTTTTCGCTGGACCCTATCAAAATAAATACCCCTGAATCTTTCAACATGCAGTTTTAATAGTTATTTTTAAGTTTTTGAAGTTAATTGAGAACAGTTGAACACATTCAATAGCTACAGTTTCAAGGAGACATTCACACTCCCCTTGCTTCCCTGTGACCTTTAGCAAGAACACTCCTCCCTTCTCTCCATTCAACAGTGTTTGCACAGACATGATTTTAATCAACTTTCTATTCACAGGCTTAATTTGCCATTGATTGTAATATTCAAAAGTAAAAAGATCACAAGACTGCATTTCCGCTGGAGTATAAACCTGGGCTAAAATGCCAGTCATAACCAAAAGTGACCACTTCATTCCTAGACTTTTTTGTGTGTTCTACAATAGTAGCCACATGTCAGAGTAAACATGATATCATTTTGAGACTGGCTTATTTAATAAGCATAATCGTTTTAAGTCACATCCATTTTGTGGCAAAAGACAGGGTTTCATTCTCTTATAGTTGGGTAGTGTTTCATAGTGTATGTGCATGCCACAGTTTAATTCAGTCATCAATTGATTAATAACTGGGTTGATTATTTTAGCTTTTGGGAATTTAACTTCAGTAAACACGGGGGTAATAACTCTCTCATAGGTTGATTTCATGATGTTTGGGTAAATTCTCAGGATCATATGATGGAGCTATTTCCAGCTATCTGAAAAAAAAACTTTGTACTGTCTTCCATAATGGTGAAGTTTTTTTGCCTTCCCACCAGCAGTGGATTAGGGTACCATTTCTTTAATGCATCCTAATCAGTGATTATTGTTCTTAGCTTTTTGGATGACAGCCATTCTAACTGGCATGAAACGAAACCTCATTGTGTGAGACTGAACATTTGTTTTGTGTGTCTTCTACATATATCTTTAAAATACAAATTTTTATGAGGCATGCTAACATCATTATTGCTGTAACAGCATTGTTGCTACTGTGATTTCAAAAGATGAATTTTCCAGATTAACTCTCATCTTTCTCAGTTGTCCCAACAAGTATTTTTCTGTGATTGATTATGAAGCAAAATGAAAAAGTTATATCAAAGTTACGCAATGTAATTTATTGAAATACCCCTTTGTGTTGCTAGCATCATTTTGTTAAAGCTAAGAAATTTAAGCCCTTTGGGCAGCTGGGAAATAAATGTGAGTCTCTGGCTCTCAGGAGAACCTGGCATCTTTGTCTAAATAGCGTAAAAGAGAAGCTTCATACAAGCTGTGCAGAAGCCAAGGGCTATCAGAGTTGACCAAAGATGGGCACATGAGAAATTGCTTCCTGAGACCATGCATTGGAGTAAATAGAAATGGAATCGGGTTGTAATTGGAGGGAATTCTCTTCTGAAGAGGCTTTAACAAGCTGTGTAAAATTTTAGGAAATGTTGTTGGTGTAAGATTTGAAAGTTTAACAGTTTGCACTTCCTCTTCATCAGCCTTTTTGTCAGCAGAGTGATAAAATATTAATAATGATGAAAGAGCTGGAGAAGATAATTTCTGTTAAGCAGGAGGCAATTAAGACAGTGCCATTCATGCAAAACCTAATAACTCCGATCCTATTCTACAGTGTTTGCTGGTGTTGGGTATAGAAGGGGACCAAGAGAGGCTAAGATTATGAGCATTGTACTTTGTACATTCAAAACAAGAAACAATCAAGAACAAAAACAGCCACTCAGCAATTCTGTGTGTGGGACTGTCTGTCAAGGATCATGAATGTTGTGGTGAGTTAGGTAGGCCCTCGTTATTGTCTTTCCAGACAGCAATGCAAATTGACTTGAAACCATCTCATTACTTATTTATAATAGTACCTAGTTGTAAATTGCACAGTTGTGAAACTTTTGCATTTACTTGGGCAGTTGATCAGACTTTTCTGAGGAAGCCATGCTTTCAGCTAATCTCTGACAATATGCCATGACTAACTTGATGATGTATTTTTGTTAAGAAAGAAAAATGACTCAAAATTTTCAGTCCCGAAGTGACACAGTAGTCCTATTATGCGAAAGACAAGAAAAGAGTTGGAGAAAAATGATATACTCAATTTCAAATATGCTTGACTTAGAAGATCCCAATGATAAAGAATTAAATATTAAAAGTAGAACTTGAATTCGAGAATGACATTGTCCAAAGTTTTATTCTGGGTCAGTCATTTGCCAATGTGCTCTAAAATACTCTAGAAATATCCTTCTAGATACTTGTCCTAACAAATTACAAGCCTGAAGAGAAAAATAATTTAAATTTCAGCTTGAATTTAAAATTTAAAAGTAAATTTTGGGCTGGAACATGTTCAAGGCATTGAGAAGAGCCACACTCTCAGAGAACACTTTTTCCTGTTGGCTGAAGAGCTCCCCCTATTTCACCACATGTAGACTGTGCTGGGGTTGCTGCAATGACCTCTTCAGCAATAAATCACCTGAAATATGACACCTTTACCGATAATATTTTAACGTTGTCCCAATTGAACCATTTGGACTATTTAAACAGTTGCAAGTGTAGATCATCCAGCTCTACTACCTATTGACTTATTTATGCCAACTATTTTCCCTTAAGAAACAAACTTTGGTGAAGATGAGGAAGATATCCAAATTATTGAATATAGCAGATCTCACAATAAAAACAATATTGCATTATTCAAGCCCTCTTTTCAATATCATCCTCTATGTAAGCATTTTTGAAGCACACTCACATACTTCAATCTATCCCAGATATGACAAGGGGAGAAGCAAAGCCATGCCTATTGGCAGGGATACTTCTGACTGCTATGTGATGTCAGTCTTTCCTTCAATGACAAACTTCCTCTGTTGTCCACATTCACTGTATTCCCTAATTACTCTAAAACTCTACCTGTGGAAATATGAATTTTTCACTAAAAAT